ATTAAAGGAACTACGGATTATTTTTATCCAATTGAAAGAAATTACTATTTAGAACATATATATGAAATAAAATTTTATTAACATAACGTTATTTTATTCCAATAATCAACTGTGGTTATACTTTCTGGGACACCCTATATTTTATTGATGGTCTTCAAAGAACAATCTCTCCGTACAATTATCTCCGTACAAACTGATGTGACCGCCTCAAATCATCTGGAACAGATTTCACTATGTGAGATGGATTGGCCGAATTTCAGCACAAACCTGGTTCATTCGTCCCTACTAAACAATTACAATTGTATTCGAAGTTGCTTAGCATTCTGAGAGCTAAAATCTGTAAATCGTTTCTTTTTTTCCTCAAAAACGCCGTTTGATTTGCACGGTGTTTTTTAAATAACGCGTTTTTTTAACATGGTAGGGGATACGTGCAAAAAATCTAAGTGTACTCGTGACTCTTAATGAAATTCAACGGTAAATACATTTAGAAGTCATTTGTTGCTTAAACATTCCACTGTGGTGTAAACATCCTTTGGAAAAAGAGAGGTAAAGTGCGGGTTGTGCTTAGTAGGCCGATAATTAGATCTAAACCCAATTCGAATGAGAAGCAAACAATCAAACAAATTTGATGAGATGGATTTTTTAAACTCATAATCGATGTAGTCCTTACTATTCAATACAATACCAGAATTTAAAGATTTTATTAGTTCTAAATAATTCTAATTTTACCCTGAGGTTGATCAGATTTACAATTCAATTCTTGACATCATACAACACACAACACCCGGTAGACCAGAAGGCAATTTTATTTTGAAGCAAAATTCACCTGGCTGGGAATCAAAGTCTAACATCGTGGTACTCACACACAGTTTACCTAAATTACGGGTAAATTCACTATTTGCATGACCATTACGAATAATTTTATGCCAAAGAATAATTTTGACGTAGGACTACGTCTGTGATTTCTATATGGGGGTACACTTTGTGAAAACCAAAAATGGAATATGTAACAAAATTATGAAAGATTTAGAACGTTAATAACTCAGCTGCCCCTAGACCAATTTCAATAATTTTATCATCAATCGATCAGAAATATTTCAACGCTTCTGATAAATTTAGGATTTTATCATTTTTATAAATGTCACTTTTGAAAATTGCACGAAATGTAAATTATCACCGATTACCTACAAAAAAAAGATTTCCCTAACACAGATTTCAAAGTTGAATTCAATCCTGTCTCACCAAACGGTGTTAATTCAATCGCCTCGTGGTGAGTGGTGGTGCTCTCCAGTACACAACGAAAGGCTGCCTGTAAGCAGCGAGTTGCAGCCGACTTGAGCATCCATAGAAGGAGGAAGAAGCCGCACCGCTATTGATCGGAATCAGTAGCTCTTCGTGAGTCGCTGTGGGCCATCTATGCCAAGCGCGTCATACTAAAGAGTATAAACAGAGAGAACCCCGCTCAAATTCCTATTCCTACACAAAACACAAGCTCCTGCTACAGTTAACAAATAAGATTTATTATATAAGTCCACTTAGTTCTACGTCACCATTGCGTTCAACCCCATAGGGCTGTCCCTTGTAGTTTTATTATATTACTAAAAAGAAAGTCTGATAGCTTCATTTTTGAAGTCTCAGGATCTTGAAATGATTTTATTTTTCCTGGGTCCCAGATCATTAAAATTTTGGTTAGTCTGAATTTACTTGGAACTCTTCACAGGGTATGTTCGCCATTTTTTTAGTTCCGTTGAATCATTCAAAAATTCTCACTTCTTACTTCTTTTCTATATTCCCCTAAAATAATCTTGATAGTATCCAAACTTTTCCAGTAATATTCTAAGAGTTTCTAGCATTACCTCTTGTAATCTCTTATAAATTCTTTAAATATTCTTCATAATTTCCTTGGTACACTCTTCAGAATGACCGTCACGCTCTTCTCAGACTCATCCGATAATTTACTTTGAACTGCTTTGTAGGTAATGTTAGAATTGTTTTGAAATCCTCTTAAGTATTTCCTTATTACTCAAGTACTTTACCAAAATGGTTTTGAAAGTTTCCCAGAAATCGCGCAGAATTTCGTTTAACTGTTTTGAAATTTTATTAAAATGAATCTCCATAGAAACATTGAACAGAATTCCATTGAAATTATTCTCACGATTCGTATCGGCATACTCCTTAAGTTTCATCATAAGAATTTTCTATGATGTCTCTTCCGGATTGTATTTCCTTTATTCACAAAAAATCCATGCAATTGTCATCAGACTTGACAAGACAATTGACACTGTCTTCAACCAGAGGTTTCACAGACTGAATGTTTAACACTAGACAACGGACAACACACCCGCCCAGTAGACCAGTAGGGACATTCACAGGGAGTCAAAATTAGCACCGGCTGGAGCGGGAATCGAACCCTCACTTCGTGGCACTCACAATACGCCTGAGCGACGGATGATATCGCACGACCACGAAGCCCACAAAGATGGATGGAACTCTACTCAGAATTAGCTTGAAATTCTCGTTTGATTTCACAAGGAATTCACCCTACACTCCACTGTGAAGTATTTTCAGAATTACCTTAAAATTCCAATAATGTCCAACGTTGATGAACTTTAAACCTGTTTAAAGTAGCAAGTTTGGCTTTTTAGTTTTTGATTATATGGTAAATAAATTGCAGTGATATTGTTAAAAAAATATGGGAAAATCTGGAAAATATTTAAAAAATCTGGAAATATACGTGGTCTGTCTGTGTATCTGGCAAGACGACTAAAAATCTGGAAAATCCACATAAATCTGGACATAAGTGTAATGGGAATAGATGATGAGAACTAAAATTTGCACAAATGACGAAAGTCATATAAGTTACCGCAAAATTGTCTCATGACATTCTATGTAAAATAGAGGAAAAAGATGGAGTTTGCGAGAAATATGTTCATGATGGTCAGGATGACTATTTGCATAACTTTCATATCCTAAACGTAATTACTAAAATGACTCAAACGCAGAAATGTTAGAATACATAAATTTTCGTCATATAAATTTCTTTGCAAACTGAATATAGTTTCTACAATTTTAATTAAAGCAAACCACAAAGCGGACCAAATGTGTTTGTATTTATTATACACACTCAGAATTATTGTCATCTTCAGTATTTTTTTTATTAAAATTTCAACAGCTTAACGTTTATCAAAACATTGCCGATAATTTTTCACAAGCTTTATTTTAAATCTCGATCAATCCTTTTCGTTCAATCTGAATTTACGTTTTTTTTCCTCTATAAATCAACTAAATTGAACTATCAAAATTTTACCGACCTGTTCAGCTAAAAATGACCGAAGACGGTGATAACTTCTAAGTGTACACTTCCTAAAAATACAGTCAACTCGATGTCTTCAAACTTGATATCGAGTTATAGAACTATAGTAAAAATAAGTTGAAAAATGAATGAATTTGCGATGCTGATTTTCTACATGCAAAACAAATGACATGAACAGCAAGTGCAAGAGTGAATTTATGCCATCCTCTCTATATGTTTGTTACAACAAATGTAATGTCTCTATCACAAAACACAAACGGTATATCAAGATTCTAGCAGAAGGAAAATTTTCAAATAACTATCAAATGACATTGTGCGACTTTGTTCTAAAAATAAGTGGTGTTGAGTACTTGGCTCTGATGAAGTCTGCAAGCAGTAGACGAAATACGCGTATCTATCAAAAGATAAGCAATTATAATGGAATTAAAAGGATATAAATCAACGCACTCAAAAGCTCTCCATCTAAAAATAAGGCTTAAGTGTTATAGAGTAAGTCAGCCAGATTATGGCCCTACCAGTTCTATTTTTTCCCATGTATCTACGTAAATAAGACCATGAAAATATATTTCAATTTTAAGTTAGGCCCTAGGGCCAACAACTAGAGAGTTTGTGCCATAATTGGCATAGTTACCCTATTTAAACAAAAAATACAATTTAGAAAACTTTTAAGAAAAATTAATTTTTTGTGTTGCCAAAATCGAAACACGTCAAAATCGAGATCTCACTATACTGAGCATTTACTTGATTGCTCTGAACTGAAGTTATTTTGGGGAAACCGTGGAAGTGATATCAATCTAGATCACTTCGCCGACTGTTGTTCAATTTGTTTCACAAATTCGCACATTTTCAACATGTTTCTCACTTGCAGTTGAATTTAAAAATGTTTAACTATTCACCAACTTCACACATTTTGGAAAATCACACATTGGAGGAGCTCCAAGCGATCGTTGCCAATATCAAACACCACTGCCGACTTCTCCTACGGAACGAAACTCAACAAATTCCAGACTTCACTGCTGTGAACTGAAAACAGCCCACCCGCGAATCACAGAACTACGGCCCACTGGCGAAATTCCAACTTCCATGCTTCTAAATTGCACCGCCGCCGCAGCATACTCACAACAAGCCACACTCGAAGTCAATGTGATATGCTACAAAACCACAAAACGACAGAACTTCCACAACCGTTTTCGTTCTGCCTATAGGCGCGCGCCTAGCCTAGTCGGAAAATTATGAGATTCTCTCACTCTCGCTTTCGTCGATCGTTGACTCTCCCACATTGTTTGAGCCGTTCCTCTCTTTCTGCACGCGCCTTGAGCCACCGGGGCGCCCGCTCAAGTCTCTCGGGCGTCGGGCATGTGCGAGTGCAGGCCTACGTGTATGTAGGTACGATCGTTTTCGGGCCTACGAATTGAATGAAGTTAGGGTAGGTTTTGATTCTTCCTTCTGTGCTCTGGTGCTCTCAGCATCCCCCTCTCCGTCGACGGTTTGGCTGGCTGGCTGGCTGGTTGGTCCTTCACCGTTCGTCGTCCTCCCTTCAGCAGCTCCCGCCGTCACCGGCTTCAGCACCGTCAGCCGATATTCTAGACATGGTGGTAGCCAAAGGCTGCTGCATTGCACGAAGCACACAAATTTTCAGAGTTTCCAATCGGTATAAAAGACGTTATGGCCATTCCAATAGTCATCAGTTCAGTTTGGTTCTTTGCAGTACAGTGTATCTTAGAGCACCAGCGACAAGTTTCTAGTTCGTTCTATAATTCGGTAGAATTACCAATAGTTTCCATACTCACCATGAAGGTACGGTTCCTTGTGATTGCGATTGAGGTGTTTGGTGTGGTTTTCTGTGCTTTTCTTTGGATTAAGAACTTTCTGAAGATTTCGATGGACTTTTGGATTTTTGAGCGTGAACAAGTGAAAACTAGTGATACAATCAGAGAGTGATCTAATGGATTTTTATCATCCTTTCCAGTGCTTCGTTGCCATTGCCCTGTTGGCCGTTGCCGTTAGTGCATCGCCAATCGAATACGGACACTACGGTGGCCCAGCTCTGCTGCACGCCGCTCCAGTTCTGCACGCTGCCCCAGTTGTGAAACACGTCGTCGCTGAGCCAGTCGTAAGTATACCGAATATCCCAGCTGGAATGTGATTCAGATTCTGAAGGTGTGTTTGGTTCGTTTGCACACAGGCCTACCCGAAATACTCGTTCAACTACGGAATCAAGGATCCCCATACTGGTGACATCAAGTCCCAGGCCGAGGAACGCGACGGTGATGTTGTCAAGGGACAATACTCCCTCGTCGAACCAGACGGTTCCGTGCGCACTGTTGACTACACCGCCGATGACCACAATGGATTCAACGCCGTCGTCCACAAGTCCGGTAAGTGATTACCGTTCAAGATTATCATAAGCACTCGTTAACACTCCACATTTGTCCTTTCGTTACAGCTCCAGCTGTCCACAAGGTTGTTGCCCCAGTTGCCTACCACGCTCCAGCTCCAGTCTACAGCCACTACGTTCACTAAGTTCGCTATATTCGGGTGGCTGAGCTGAGTGCGGTTCCATCATAAACCGCTCCCGGAAGCCCTCCCCGATTAAGTCACTCTCTCACAAAACTGTCTCCGCCAAGAAGCTTCCAAACTTCGAACTGCTATCTGCAGTAAACAAAACTACTCACTCGTATACATCGTTAAGCTACCAACAAATCATAGACAAACACATACAAAGCCCGCTCTATCATCGAAATGTAATCGTTTATTTTTTTTTGTTAAGTAATTATCGAATTATTCGCGCCTCAAACCTAAGGCTTTCTATTCTGATTGCTCGGCACATTTTTCCGCGATTACTTCACCCACTTACTTCCGTTCTTCACTCACTTTTCACCGGTTCCGGATCGGCCTCGAAAGGTGAAAAACACACAAACACACTTTCGCTTTACCGGCCGAAGCAAAGCAAAGCAAAAAACCGGAACCGTCACAACACGAAACGTAAACAAAACAACCGCAGCAGTAGATGCAGCACCACGGCCGCAAACCGTCTGGCACGTGCTCGGCCGAGTTCTTCTCTCCGGTGCAACATCTCCCGAGAAGAAGCCGCGTCACTCACCCACTGAGTGATGCGACGAGGCGTCTGCTTGCCCATCAGCCATATAAACGAAGCGAAAAACATCGCGAATTTGTCGCATCGCGCTTCGGTTGCGCTACTCTTTTCCCGTGGGAAAAATGTAGCGCAACACGAAGCGTTACCTATTGCCATCTATTGGAAACCAAGCGAACCAAAACAACCGCGGGAAACGACTGCCCTCGAAGTAGCAAGTCAAACATTGGGCCAGCGCGATCATCACGACCACTCGAGATGGGGACTTATTTTCAAGTCACCACGTGCCCAATCATTAATCCAAACAATGTTTGAGTGCTGGCAATCGACCAATTTCCTCGTGTCGAATGTGATAATTGTTGTTCTACTATTACCTATACTGTTACTTTTTATCTGATCTTCTATCACTTGTTACAACCTATCGTACTGAATCTCCTTTACATTCTACACCTTCTACCTTAGCTATCGGACTGTACCATTTTTCCTTTTTCAAAGCTTCTCATCTGTGACCGGAAAAAATCCTTTTGAGAAGAACAAACACCAATGTGTGAAGAAGCTAGGAAGAATCTATCTCCCCCTTAGTCATCTGCTTTAAACACGAGATCAAAACGAATCGAAAAGCGAGAATTGTTTTAAATGAAAAAATATGTATTTTTTTTTAAATAAACAACCCCCAAAAAATTGCTACCCATGCTGTGCCAAGGGTGGCAAAAACAAAAAAAGATCAAACTGTACATACAGAAATAAAAAATATTTTATAAAAAATTATAAACACATCTGTCTTCTTACTATTCTTAATCCACCAGCACCGTTTCCGAATTTGGTCCGAAGGAGAACTAGTTCCAGCTCGTATTGCAGTAAGTGCTCTGCTGTTAGAAGGTCACAAAACAAACATACGCTTCAACATGTGGTGATGATGCTGGAAAACATAAAAAAACATAAAAGGAAAAGACCTTCTGCTCTATTTATGTTTAACTGTGATGGATGATTGCTGCACTTGCCTGCAGTGCTTGTTGCATGCCATACGCACTTGCCTATGCATTTTTATTTGAAGTATTTCTTTTTTTATAACCCCTTTATTTGTTCTAAATTAAAATCAATCTACATTCATACTTTAACCTAGGTTCTCCAACTATAACAATAACTTATCAAACTTAATTGTTATAATATAGGGGAAATGCAGGTAATGTCGGCCTAAGCGTCCCTAATTTGGGCCCATACATAAATTCAGCAATTGACTAAATTTTCAATAAATAGCAATCAAAAATATCCATTAGTAACGTCCCAATAACGCGTTCATCTAGATAAAATTGATAAATAGCAGATTTTTAGCGATGGGTCCTATCTTAGATCCATAGGCCAACATTAGAGACATTTCCCCTATATATATATATATTAGACTGGTGCAAATTTTGAAATTTTTGCTCCACAGTGCTCAAACGGTTCCAAATTGGGTCCTGATTATCCTTTCAAAATTTGAACTCATTTAGTAAGAACCTGAAATGGCACAAACCATTTGAAGTTTATAGGGAAATTATTATGGGGAATCCATAATTTTGGTTCATATCTATCTCAAAATTCACCAGTTCAGTCTACTTAAGAAAATGATATCTGCGCTAGTAGAAAATTTTCTCAGCTACAAGTTTGTGCAATACTACTTTTCTATCAAATGTAAGGAACAACAATTATTAATAATTCACGTTAGTGATGTATCAATCTCTTAAACAATAAATATCTATTTAATTTGAAATTTGGCTGAGAAACGAATTTCTGCAAAGTTGTAGCTGATAAAAATTCCCATGAGAATAAAAATAGAACTAGTTAACAGTATAATATGGGAAAAGGCTAGAAGACAATGATCAAAAAGTTAGGTTTTCCCATAGTAATTTCCATATAAACTTCAAACGGTTTGTGCCAAGTCAATTTCTTATCAAATGAGTTTGAACTTTCGGAGGTTAATCAGGACATGATTTGAAACCGCTTGAACACTGTGGAGCGAAAATTTAAATTTTTGCATCAGTCTGATATATATACAGCCATTCCATAGCAAAATGATATAGTGGTTCTCAGAATTTCGTAAAAAATTGAAGTTTTGTTCCTTATCGCAAAATATTAGAGCCGTGTTTTTAAAATGTTGTCATCAGGGTGACTATTTCTATGTTAGGGTGGTCCAAAAAATCGTTTTTTTTTTCAAAAATTCATAACATTTGAACCATCACGATTTCAAAAGATCAAAATTTTAAATGAAAGGTAACCGAAAATATTAATGTAGGAAAAATATAATGATATAAAAATTTGATTTTGTAATGAAAATCATTGGTTGTGTTGCCGATGCAACTAAGGTTAGAATAAAAAACACTCCTTTTTAGCGTAGATTTCACTGGCTTTAAGCTGCAAATATTTATTATTTTAAGTAGATTTTAAGTAGGAATATCTATATTTAACTTACGTTTAGTGTTTAAGCAAATTTTAATAGTTTTAAGCAAGAAAATATAAAAGTTTTATCGAATACAATGCAATTGAGATTCACGTTTCACAAAATATCGTCACCTTTTGATTTCATGTAATCTTCAACGAATGACAGTTGCGCTGACGGCTGTAGCGATGACAAGCAGCGGTAGGGCTACCAGATTCCTCGCTCGTCCGTCCGTTACGAGTTCAAGGGGACTGCGGATGGCTCGTAGCAGTACCAACATTCCCCGGCCCGTAAGGTTGAGTTTGGTCCTGTCCACTAGCCTCGACCTTACCATCTTCAGCTACCTCGATGACGGCGAGCTTCACTGCCGTACGTCGGATGACTCCCGCTTCCGTACGTACCAGGGCCTGTCTGGTAACACCATCTTTTCCACGAATAACCTCGACGATCTGACCTCGAATCCAGGTATTTCTCTTGTTCTCGTTGGCAACGAAAACCAAGTCACCCACTTCAATTGGTTTAGTGTCTCGGAACCATTTGGTTCGCCTGGCAATCGTTGGAAGGTATTCGCGCAACCATCTTTTCCAAAATCCATCCAGAATGTGTTGTGCCAGGTTCCAGCTGCTGCGTAGACAATCGGTGGCCTTCGTAGGTTCCTTAGGCAGTTGCTTAACTCCATTTGAGCTACCCAAAAGAAAATGATTGGGTGTCAGCGCTTCTTGGCCGGCGTTGTCCAGCGAGATGTATGTCAAAGGTCTTGAGTTGATCATACTCTCGGCCTCTAGGATGATTGTCTCGAAGGTTTCATCGTCGGGTACTCTTGGTGCGGAGGCCATTGTTTCTATAGCGACCTTGACCGATCGCACAAGTCGTTCCCACACCCCACCCATGTGGGGTGCGGCTGGAGGATTAAAATACCATTTGGTCGTGGTATTGGTGAAGGTTTCGGCGCACTGCTGGATTTGATCTTGTAGCTCATTCGCGGCACCGCGGAAGTTGGTGCCGTTATCAGAGTATATCTCTGATGGGGCACCTCTTCTAGCAATGAATCTACGGATGCACATCTTGCAGGACATCGAAGACAAGCTATGTGCCACCTCCAAATGTATCGCTCGAGTTGTCAGGCACGTGAACAAGGCAACCCATCTCTTAGCGTGTTTGCGACCAACTTTGACTGTCACTGGCCCGAAGTAGTCCAGCCCGGTGTAGGTGAACGGACGAAGAAATGCTTCCAGCCTGGCCCGCGGTAGTGGGCCCATCTTCGGCGAACCCAGTGATGCGTTGTAAACCTTGCACATCTGACATCTAGCGGCGACTTTGCGGACCAGGTTTCGTAGACCTGGAATGTAGACCAGTTGACGAAGCTCATTGACTACCGTCTCCTGGTTACGGTGGTGACATCGACATTGGTAGAAATCTACGAAGAGAAAGGTTACTGGATGGTTCGGAGCTAGTATAACGGGATACTTAGCTTCGATCGGCAGGTTGGGGGCGGCGCCGATACGACCATCCATTCGCACCAATCCCTCTTCATCGATGAAAGCTGACAATTTATACAACGGGCTCGATACCGGCACCGCCCCCGAAGGCTTTGTAGAATGTCGACTCTGCAACACAGCTAACTCCTCAGGAAACGTCTTCAGCTGAACCATCTTCCACAGCTTCACTTCCGCTTTGCACAGAAGTTCTGAATTTATCGGTGTTTCCAACGACGTATCTTCGCTCATCACTCCTCCGAATTTGAGAACGTACGCTACCGTTCGCTGCAGCTTTTCCCATCTCGAAAAACGTTTCACATCGATCACAGGCTCTATTTTCACCCGTCGGTTAACGAGTACCGGGCGAAGTTCTTCTGCTGCATCTGTTCCTTTCCAATTTTGTTCTGGCCAAAACTCCTCTGGACCCCATAGGAACTGTGGTCCTCGATGCCATGGATCTTCAGGATCAAAGCACGGCCCGTTGCCCCACTTCGTTGCCTTATCCGCTACATTCTGCATCGTTGGTACTTTCTTCCATTCGCTTGGGTTGGTCGATGTCAAAATCTCTCCAATTCTGTAAGCAACGTACGGTCGATACCTGCGGGAATCGGAGTTGATCCAATGAAGGACCGTCGATGAATCGGTCCAGTAGAACCGTTGATGAATAGGAAGCTGATGATTCTCCAAAATCGACTGTGCTAGCCGGGTTCCCAGGATGGCAGCTTGCAATTCGAGCCTTGGGATTGATAGTGTTTTGATTGGAGCGACCTTGACTTTCGCTCCTATCAGCGCACAATGCGGCTGACCAGCATAGATAAAGCAAATATACACTACGCAGGCGTATGCAGTGCTGCTTCCGTCGACGAACGTGTGAAGTTGCAGTGGCTGGCAGTCTTCTGGAACAGCGTCTCCAAAATACGTCTCCAGCTTTGGCAACAAGTTTATCCAACGCTTCCAATCTCCGAAAATCCCGTCATCTATCAAGTCATCCCAGTCACAGTTGGCTCGCCACAAGTCTTGAATGATGATTTTCCCTTGAATCACGTACGTGGCGAGAAATCCAAGTGGGTCGTACAGACTCATAACCGTCTTCAAGATCTGGCGCTTCGTAGGACGAACTGAACCGTCTAACAAACCCTCCTCTGTACCAGGCATGTAAGCGGAGAAGGTCAGTTCATCTGATTGTGGTAACCAGCGGATACCCAGGACAGATTCTGCAACGTTAGACTCCTCTGAATTCCACATCTTCTCCTTCGCAGCATTTCTTTCTCCAAGTCCTTCCAGTACTTCTCGGCAATTTGACATGAAGTTTCGAATTTCAAATCCCCCTTGGCTATGGACGTATCTGACTTCCTCGGCCAAACGAATGACCTCCTCCACGGTATCTCCGCTGTCCAGAAAATCGTCCACATAGTGGCTATTGATGATAGCTTCAGCAGCGTTCGGGAACTCTAGTGCATGCTCTTTCGCATTTAGATTTTTAATGTATTGTGCTGAGCATGGGGAACAGGCTGCTCCAAAAATCCCCACATTCATCACGTAAATGACGGGCTCTTCGGATGAGTCTTTTCTATGCAGGAACATCTGCGACTTCTGGTCTCTCAACGCGATCTTGAACTGGTGATACATTTCTCGTATATCCCCCGTGACCGCGACGCGTCTCTGCCGGAATCGATACTGCACACTCGTTAGTGGCGTCAGCAAATCGGGACCCTTCAGCATCATTGAGTTAAACGATGTACCTTTGACTTGAGCGGCAGCATCCCATATCAACCGCAGCTTCTGTGGTTTCTTAGGATTAATTACCACTCCCAGCGGCAAGAACCATATTCGATCTTGATCATCGGAACACAGATTATCCTCCGTTGCAATACGCGCGTAGCCCTTTTCCAAATAGGCGTCCACCTGATCGTGGACTCGCTTAGCCAGTTCTGGAACCTTTTGAGTCTTCCGCTCCAAACTCTTCAGTCTGCTTACAGCCATAGGATAGCTGTTGGGGAAGTGGACCTCATCACATCTCCAAAGCAGGCCAGTTTCGAATCCACCTGGTACACGTCGAGTTGTTGATTCGAGAATTTGTCTGGCCCTTTTGTCTTCTGCCGATTCAAGCTCAGTAGTCAATGGAGTGACACCGAGACTGTCCGTCAGGAAGTACTGCTTTACCAGGTCATGCAACTGACGATATTCAGTCATACGGCTGACGTGGAAAACTCCTCGGAAATCGTCTGGTTTGGTAGATGCTCCTCCGTAGACGCACCACCCTAATCTTGTCTTAGTGGCGATTGGTTGACCACGTGCTCCTTCACGAATCTTCAGTGGAGTGGACAAGTAGAGGTTTTCCAGGCCGATTAGTAGCTGCGGACGAGCTTCATCGTATCCATCAATATTCAAACCTTTGAGGTACGGAAAGTTATTGATTAGTTCATCCGGGTTGATCGACTGAACAGGAAGTTCTAACTCTTCTACGGTACGTGCGTTGACCACGTTGAAACGTCGTTTCTTTTGCTTTCCGGAAATCTCCAGCTTCACCACGCAAGACTGTTCCTCTACTCGGGACACATTTCCGGTCCAGCGAAGGTGCAATGGATCTGGTGAACCCTTGAGACCCAGTTCGTCAGCCAAACTCTTCTCGATCATCGTTACCTCGGAAGCCTCGTCGAGTAACGCAAATGTGTTAATGAAACCAGAAGCACCATGCACCGTAACAGGGAGAATGCGATATATTACGGTCTGACTGACGGAGTGGAAATTCTGTGAGCTAGCTGCTAATTTCGACTGTGAAGGGAAAGAGTGGAGCAAGGGATGGTGACGTATTCGACACCCGTCGATCGTACAATTCTTGGGTCGTCGACAGGGATAAGGAAGGTGATTCCTCATACAGGATCTGCACAAATTGTGCTGCCGCACCATCTTCCAACGTTCATCAGAATTCAATGCTTTGAACTTACCGCAACTATCCACTCCATGGCCTACTTTGCTGCAGATCGGACATACCTTTTCCGATGGTGTTTGCTTCAACTGGTCATCACCTGACGCACGAGTATCGCTGTGGTGATTGACGAATCCTCGAGCCTTCGCATTCCCGCTTTTCTTCGTTTCATCTTTCGGTGCCTTTGCCAAAGTCGCTGGTCGATACGTTGTTACCTCGCTTGCTTTCCGTACTATATCCGCCATAAACTGCCCGAAGGTGTCCAGACTAACTACCGGTACAGGATCCTTGAAGTCCACCCACTTGAGCTTAATCTCCGACGGAAGTTTCTCGACAAGCTCATGCAGCAACGATGGATTGCCCAAATGTGCTTCAAGATTCGCTGCAACTAGGTGATCGCAATAGTTCTGCACCGCCATCCCATAAGCGATAAGTGTGTCTAACCTTCCTTCCTTCGGGGATTGCGTATTTCGGATCTTGGCCAATAGCGAGTTGATCAGCACCTCTGGCCTGCCAAAGAGCATTCGCAGGGTGTCAATTACACGCGGGACCGCAGCAGGAAGTAGAAGCCGACTCCGTACTGCTTCTAATGCATCGCCTTTCAAGCAGCGCTGTAGGCGGATAAGATTTTCTGCGTTGGAATACCCGCATTCTGCAGTAGAGTTTTCATAGTTGCTAATAAAAACTGGCCAGTCCTCCGCGTTTCCGGAGAAGCTGGGCAAATCCTTTGGCAAAACCTGGCGAGCTGCCAGTTGTGAGTTCGTCAGGCCGAATGCTCCACGATTGGGTTGCATAGGTGCCCGTAATTGGTCTGGGCGTGTTCCTTCCCTAGGGGCATTCGAACCTGGTTTTGGATGATTTTCTTCGGGAATCCTGGGTAGACCCGGTGGCCTGTTGCGTGGAATATCAGGCTGTCTCTGGTCACGATGGTCAGAGGGCCCCGGCCCGTCATCCCGGATATGCGGACGCTGTCCTCGGTCCTTTGAGGTTCTGTCAGGAACAGGATCTTCATTCACTTTGTTGCTCGCTTTTGGTTTCGTCCCGGTGTACCGTTCCTTACCGGATTTTCCCATCGGTAGGGGAACTGGAAGTACCTCCGGTGGGTTGGAGTTTTCCTTTTCGAGGTTGTCCAACCAGTCTTTTACCCTTTGCGCGCGAGGTGCGTACAATGTTTTGTGTTTTTCAGCAAAACCCATCTGCTCCAACTTCTCCCGGAACTCTTCACGGCGTTTCTCCTCTTCAATCCGCATCCTATACAGGCATTCCCGTTCTGCGTTTTTGGCATTCTGCGCACGATCGATTTTTCGACGATCTTCTTGGTTCCTCTGCTGGTGATCTGGAAGGGCTTTTGCTCCATCAGACGATTGATCGAAACTAATGCTGCTCATTGAGCTACATCTACCGACTGATCCTTCCAGTTGGGCGTTCAAAATCCGATACTTTTCGGCGAGATACTTCTCCTCCAGCTTCCGGAGCAATTCAGAACGGGATTTCTCATCGTCCAGTTTCTTCTTCGTTAGTGCTTGCTCCTGCTCCTGCTGCCGACGTTCGTTTTCCAGCCGCTTTCGCTCCAGTTCTGCCTCCCTTTTGCGCTGCAGCCTTTCTTGTTCTTGCTGATGACGTTCTTCGTCCAAACGACGGCGTTCGAGTTCCGCCTCCATCTCACGTTGCAGCTTCTCCTGCTCGATGCGGGCTTTCTCCAATTCCGCCTCTTGCTTTCGACGCTCTTCCTCCTCGAGAACCCGCTGCAACTCCAATCGCTTCCGATCCTCCAACTGCTGCAATTCCAAAGCGGCTCTTGCTGCACGGGCTGATGCACGGGTGCTTACCGTGATCGACGAACGACGTGAGGAAACGGAATTCTTTTGCCGACCAACCGGTGTACTGGTCGCAAGCAGTTCTTTACTGCAACCTGGACAGGTCCAAGAACGATCCGCTACTGAATCTCCTACATGTACACACTTGTAGTGATACCACATATCGCATAAATCGCATGCGACCATACTTTCGTCCTCCGGATCTTCACACAGGCCACATCGCACTGCTGGAGCGGAAGCCTTCGTCTTCGGCATCTTGGCCGGATCGTTCGAAAACCACCGAAATTCACTATATTCCGTAAACCTTAAAGAATGTTGCCGATGCAACTAAGGTTAGAATAAAAAACACTCCTTTTTAGCGTAGATTTCACTCGCTTTAAGCTGCAAATATTTATTATTTTAAGTAGATTTTAAGTAGGAATATCTATATTTAACTTACGTTTAGTGTTTAAGCAAATTTTAATAGTTTTAAGCAAGAAAATATAAAAGTTTTATCGAATACAATGCAATTGAGATTCACGTTTCACAAAATATCGTCACCTTTTGATTTCATGTAATCTTCAACGAATGACAGTTGCGCTGACGGCTGTAGCGATGACAAGCAGCGGTAGGGCTACCAGATTCCTCGCTCGTCCGTCCGTTACGAGTTCAAGGGGACTGCGGATGGCTCGTAGCAGTACCAACAGGTTGTATTTGTTTTTATGGTTTTCATGGTTTGCAGATAGAGGTCGCAATATGTTTTCATATTTGCCCTTGAAAATCTAGGCTTTTTTGCATATTGTATTACACAATCAGCGATGTGATTTTTCTCGTTTTTGAGTTATAATTTTTGAAGCTATCAAGTTTTGGGTTATCGCTCAATATTCATATGGGACTAGACTAGCATGTGTCGTGACCATGTTACAGTCGCTATAAATCGATGGAGACGCATGGTAGTCGCATAGGAATATTGAGCAAAAACCCAGAACTTTATAACTTAAAAAAAAAAAAACTCCAAAAAGGAAAAACAAAAAAAAAAAACATATCGCTGATTTTTTGATACAATGTGTAAAAAATCCTAAATTTTCAAGGAAGTATAAAAACATATTACGACCTCTATCTACAAAACATGAAAACCATAAAAAAACAAATACAATCAATGGTTTTCAATCTAAAATCTCAATTTTTCAATTTCATTAAATATTTTTTAAAAAAAGAATTTTTTGCTACCTCTCATTTGATATTTTGATCTTTGAAACTGGTTCGAAAGTTATGAGTTTTTGGAAAAGGAATTTTTGGAAAATAAAACGATTTTTTTGACCACTCTCTGTTACTAGGGAGTCAGACGAACCCTCCTACAATGCACTCGATCCATGGTCTAGCCACGGGGACCATCGAAGGTGGGATCTGAAGGCCTCTTTTGATTGCTCCCGGCAAGCTCGAGCTTGAAGCCCTTTTGCGCTCAGGGTCGGCTTGTATCAAGGGAATCTGCTTAACAAGAGTCCAGTTACCAGATAAAAAGCTACACAACGCAAACTACGGTTAAACACATTTTAATTTTTTGGCTTACAGCAATGGCATGTGTGTTTGTGGGTACGAGTCTGTTATTTTGCGATAAGGAATTTGGCATTTTAACATTTGATGCCTACCTACGCGCGCGCATTTTGCTTTCTCAACTCGACGCAAAGCCTGGCTGGAGGGATCCAGCAGGGTCGCAGAGAAAGATTGTAGTTAATCGTCTGAAGGGTCGATAAGCTAACTGGGGACTCCCCAAATTTGAAAATATCGATATGGGGTGAAATTGATAAACCCCTCAAATGGCTTCCCATTGCATTTCTAGCAATTGTTCTTATTAAATGTGGGTTCCTTGAATCCGATGCAGATGCTAAAACCCTTGTGTGAAAAGTATTTTCAGCAGAAATACCAAAAAAATATGTCTTAAGGTGATTCCCTGTAGCGTCCTTTTTCGTGTTACACTTCGCAATTTCACATGTAAAAATAATAAGGTTTCTGTGAATGCACGTAGCTGAAACTACTTCTGAAATCTGCAGATGTTTAAACCTCGTAGACCTTGAGTTGTGTGCTCTTCAAGAGCGGCGTGATGGGAAAATGGACACTACAAGGAAACACCTTAAATGCTCAGTTGCGCCTAAATGTAGGCAATTTCATTCAAATTCACTAGCAATTTTGAGAAAACCCTGGATTTCTTGATATTTGAAACATTCTACCGCAATTTATTAAATAATTCAAATTCATTGAAACTTAGTTTAGTAAAAAATGCTATTTTAATGGTAATGGCATGATTTTTTCCTTGGATGTTGATAATTAATGCTTTTTTTTTTAAACGTTATTAAAGAGATTTTTAGCCTTAGGCTAGTTCATCTCTATGATATTTTATGCTTCTTAACGTCAGCTCTATAAAATTGTAAAATTGTTGTTGTAAGGAAAAACACATCATTGGAGTCTCATGATGATGTATTTTAACATTTCTTTTGACATCTATCACCGACCATGTTATACGTGACAATTAAAAGTGCAACGCATTATGATCAATTCTCCCAGTACTTCCTGAACAACCTACAGTTTTGAAATAAATTTTTAATTTTTAAACAGTTGGAGATCATCAGAACTTGATCAACCTGAAGTCTTGGAAAAAATATCCAGAGAGCTTTACTAATATCTTCGTCTGTATGGAGATCTTTTGTATATTTCCTGCTGTCTAAGAAGGATGTTTGAAAGACTATCCCGTAACTTATGCAACGTTTCCTGAACATCTACAAAACTTCCTTAAGTTTTACTAAATTTCCTCAACTTCTACGAAGTTCAATGATTTTATTCCAAATGCCATATTTTTTTAATATATCTCAATTTCACGAAGATCTCTGAACATCTTTGTACTTGTGGAAGGCACCTATCATCTACAAATATTCTTGAACATCTGGAAAGTTCCTTGAAATTTAACGAAGTTCCCAAAACCTCTAAGAAGTTCATGGAGCTTTTTCGAATTAAGATCTCTGACAAAATGCAACGAAGTTCTCTATACTGAAGCGATGATCCCTGAAGTTCTTAGAAGTTTCTTGAACTATCTTTAGATCTTCTACATAATTGCCTGAACTTTTCAACATTTCAGTAACATTTCTGGTTTTATGAGGGTTCTGTACACCATAAATTAGACCTATAGAATGCTTTAAAACCACGATAAAACTTGCAATGTTGCTTGGGATTTATACGAAGTTTTACGCCTCAAAATGCTACGAAATTCGCCAAACTTCCACAAAGTTTGTTGTACTTTTACGTTTCTCGTTGATTTTCTGCGAAGTTCCACGAACGAAATATCTTGAATTTGTCCGTAATTTTCAAAACTATTCCAAGTCCATGGGGCTTCAAAAAGTGCCCTGAAATTATGTAGAGGTTCCCGATCAATAATGAGCTACCCTGAAATAAAATAATGTTCCCTTAACTTCTTCGAAACTTCTCAAACTTAAATAAAGTTTCCACTTCTACGCAGTTTTCAGAACTTTTCCATGTTCCTTGTTTCTACGAAATTTTTGGGTAGTTCTATGAGATTCCCAGATTTTCTAATAAGTTTCCTCAATTTCTACGATGTTCCCTGAAATTCTTAGAAGTAATTGAAGATTTATGAAGTTCCCAAAAGTTAAATTAAAATCCCTGGGCTTATGGCCTCCCTTAGCTCAGTCGGTAAAGGCGCAGCTACAAAGCAAGACCATGCTGGAGGTGGCTGGGTTCAATTCCCGGTCCGGTCTAGGAATTTTTCGGGTTGGAAAACTTCTCGACTTCCCTGGGCATAGAAGTATGATTGTACTTGCCACACAATTATACCAATGCAAAAATGGTACAGGCATCGAAAGCTCTCAATTAGTAACTGTGGAAGTGCATCTAGAACACTAAGTTGACAGCACGCAATAAGCTAAGAAGAAGAAGAAGAAGGGTTCATGGCCAATTTGTAGAGCCTGAAGACGTCTTATTATGCCATCAATTAAATATCGATATAATATGATTTCTCAAAATTTCCTGGTCTTGAAGAAAAAAAATTGAGAAATCATATTATATCGATATTTAAACGATGGCACAATAAGACGTCTTCGTGTTCTACAGATTAACCATGAGCCCAGGGAACAGTGGTCTGGGACCTTAAAAAAAGATTAGCAACATCAAACTTGACAAGCTTGACAAAATACCAGAATAGGGCCAGAATCTAAAAAAACTGTCTACGTAATTTATGAACAGCCCCATTACAATGGTGATTGTATTCGGTGAGTTTGTTCCAGTTATAAAGATTCCGTTTGTTTCTTGCCGGGATATCCTCGACCGCGCGTGATCTATTTTGTGGTTTATAGTTAGAACATAAGAAAAGCGATACTGCTCTCGAGAACGTAATCTCATTTGAAATGCTTGTTTAACCAGGGCTTAAGCAATCGTCACGTCGGTCATAGCTTTTTATGATAGCCTGAACAATGCATGAAGAGCAACTCGAAACATTGAACGTCGCGTGAAAGTGGAACTTAATGAAGGCCTGAGTACTTTTAAGTAGCTTTTAGTTTCCGAATTTGAAAAATTGTCGGTTACAGTGGGTTGTTTTTTGAGCAGATTTATGGTAAAATCGCTTGTTTATCCTGTATTTTCCGAAACTTGTCGGTGTTGCCAGTGCAACAACTCGCGTAACGGTATGATGTGATATGAGGGGCTCGGTGGCCTTAGAGCGACCGTTTTTGCTTACTGAGCAAAACATCATGAGTCTAATCTCAGGCTCATTCACATTCAAGATTCGTCAATCGTTTTACTTGTCGATATGACTACATGGTAATAACAGCAACTCGATGATTAAAAAGGAGCTTGTTTGCCTAGTGGTAAAAGTTTTTGCTTACTGAGCAAAAGACCGTGAGTTCAATCCCAAGCTCCTTCGGTCGTCTGGACATTAATTGAGCTTATCGTTTTCCAAAACGAATCCTACTGCAAAACCAACCCTCTTACCCAGCATCCCAGTGATTCCTCGTGGAAGTGCAAAGGATTTCTCGGCTTCCATCAAAGCGTGTGTCACATCAACACATTTCTACCCATTCCTTTCTTGAACTGCGTTCGGGCGCGGCCGGCGCTGGTATTGTCTAGTTTGAGATCACAAGTTTTTACACATTGAGGATGATTGCAAGTCCCAAGCATCCTTTATGGGTTCTCTGTGTAATTACATTTGATTTGGCAATAACAGCGTAGCAACCGTGAACGGTCAATCATGCTCATGCTCATGCTCATCTTTGATC